TTCGAACTCGCGACCCTTAGGTTGCGAGTCGAGCACCCTAACCACCTGGCCATGCCGGGATCAACAGTAGTATAATCTTTATAAACAGAAATCTAAGAAAAGTGTATTTAATTACCTACACTGATAGGCAGGATAATTTTTTGTTTCCCTCTAAATACATAGCATTGTTATATACCTCAGTCATCTTTGAAAAAATATATATGTTTTTTTATTTATAATCAGTTGTCTAAGTTTGCTAAATTATTTGTAAAACTTATAGATTCTATTTAGGATTACATGCTTTCGGTAATAAACTGTTATTAAATGGTTTCAAAATTAAACAGTTTGAATGATTTATTTTATTATTTTATTAACATCGTCGCATTAGAAATGTCCTCCATATTCCAAATTTTGATTTAAATAATCCACTTAATTCTACACTAAGAATATCAACTTTTCATTCTCAGACCATAGATAATTAATTATTTCTGTATGGTTGTGAATTTGTAAAGCATATACTTAAACTCATCACGAAGTGTATAGCGAATATTGATTCATCTTTACATACAAACCTTTAACACACACACACATGTTTGGTGTTTTAAAGTGTCTTTTACTCACACAGTAATCCTGTATTTTATGGGAATTTCAAGAATATGCATCATCAACGCTAATGATATATTTTTGTGAATTATGCAGTAAGACAAGCTGTTTAAAATACTTAAAAAATAAATTCGAATCCCAATCTATCATTCGACTAACCACTTGTCATTGAGTTTTACAGATTTCGTGGAATTCAAGTAACTTTATGTAAGTCAGAAGAGTAGATTCGTTGGTCTTATTGCACGCGCCTTACCTCATCTCTAAACCATCCTACCACCAGTAGTTCCCTCCTTTAATTTTCTAGTTTTGCACCTATACATTGCAATAGGCCTAACCCGTGCATCGCGAAGTCTTAGCTAGCTCTTTTCATTCTGTAGTTCGCTTTTACTCACGATACAATTGCTTCTAATCTACAGCTCCATCTGGAGCGAGTTCCTCGTTAAGTTACAAGAGGCAATAAAATCTGTTTTGAACCAGTCCTTTTGCTGTTTCCTCCCTTTTCCACGTGTTCTTCAAGAGGTCAGTTATATGCTGCTCCTACTCTTTTTTTTTATCATGTTAACGGCTATCTAACATGTTCAGAAAACTTTTCATATTTTAGTGTGTGTGTTTTTTTTTCAATATTGTAACTTCTCGCAAAAGAACATAAATGCCTTTTCCTTGTTCGTGACAAAATATCCTAGGTGCTAAAGTTGCTATATTCTTGATGAGGTTTTCAAACTATTAGCGTTTTTGGTGTTATATGACTTATTCTTCATCTGTCAGAATCTTGCCGAGTACACATTGCTGTGTAAACTATATATTTTTAATATTGTAACTTGTTTGTTAGCTAGATGACGTTAAGCGAGGCCTATTTAATTTTCTCAGGTAATTTAAAAGAACGTGCCAACCTTACAACATCATCATTAAGGATGGGTAATTATTGTAATTGGTACATTTTACATTTACTTTTTTCATGTCTACAGATTGCCACATCGCGTGTTACATGAAATACGTTGTTGTAGATATTCCACTCGTCAATACTATTACCTTTCAATACGGCATGTGCAAATATGCAATTCACAACATTTTAATATAACTGCAGCTACTATAAGTTTCGTCTCCTGCTTCAGTGAATGTTGCAAAATTAGAAATAAGTGCATTCTAAAAAGCTATTACTGAAAGTACAGAAGAATGTATGTGTAATAATATCTGAACCACACTATATTTGCTATATCCAGTGCCGATGAGTCCTTTCGCCTGAGCTAGTAAATTGTACCGTATTTTTCGAAATATAAGACGCACCGGTGTATAAGACGCACCCTTATTTTGAAGACAAAGTTTTGGGAAAAAAAAAGCTACAGTCGTATTTGAAAGATTTTTATTGAACAAAAATTTAATTTGATACTTTAAAAAATAGTATATA